AGCCTCCGTGGTCTAATGGTTATGACGCTCGCCTTGACAGCGAGAGGTCGCAGGTTCGAGTCCCGCCAGAGGCATTTTATTACACAATTTCTTTATTCATTTATTTACAGGACTACATTCGTTGAGAGCTATGCTACACGATGTATTATTATGTCCTTTATTCACTGTATTTACCTTTCTTTGATGATTTATATATATATATATATATATATATATATATATACGATAGCATATATAGCATGATGATGATGGATGGTAAAATAAATATATTATATGATATACAGTATTACCATCATATATATTTTATTATACCATTCTTCTTATTCATTGTAGTGCATGAACACAGCGAGAGTGAAGTTTAGGTTCGGTTTTTACAGTACTGTACATAAAATCTTTGAAACATAATCCACAGCCAGGATTGGAAATTTCAGACCAAGTATGATCAATGCATGGAGCACATGTGACTCCCATTCAATGCGGTTGTGAACCAGTTTGACTGTGATGTATTTAACACCCTCAAAATCAGGAAATTAATCGTGTATTGTTTGTCTTATTATTTATACACTCACTTTACTGATAATATTTTTTAGCCCTGTAATGGTAGACATGTGATTTTTTTTACTTTGTTTCTTTAGTAAAAAAGAATTACTTGAACACGAGGACAAATATGAGAGTTTCTACTCATGTGTGGTATCTCTATCAACACATTACATCACTAATTGTGCATATTGCTGTAAGTATAACTTATTTTTTGTGGTTTATTATTTTAAAAAATGTGGATAGGATTAGGATATTTGAAATTGCACATGCTCACTAATAATCTCAACAAACTCATATTAAGAAGTAAATTAATCTTTATCAATTCATTTTTTGTTAACTTCACTATAATTATAGCAACAGCTTTATAGTTATTTTAAAGTTTTCTCTTGCCAACAATTTCATAACAAATTTTGCATAATGCTGGCTTGAATTTCAGCATTTAGTTATAATTTATATTATATTTTTACTGGGACAAATGGGAGACAAAAACCAAAACATTGTACCACTTAACATGATGATATTATTAATACGGTATAATTGTGAACAATTCAGCTCGAACATAGCCCCGGCCCCCCCCCCCCTCTAAATCCTTTTCTAAATCTCCCTCTAAAAAAAAAATAAAAAGAAAAAATTGATCACCCAAAAGGCCCCAAAGGTTAATTTTGGGCGTCTAGAACAAAGAAGTTTTGCTGGGCCATGCCTCCGGACCACTTAGGGTAATTTTATCTCGATCCCCTGTCTCTTATACACATCCCCCTCCCCCCTTTTGGACATCTCTGGATCCTCCCCTGCAATGTTTAAAGGGTGTGGCTTAGGTAGGATCAGCCTGAGAAAATTTGTGATTTATGATAATGTTGTTTTTCTGGAAGTATACATACTGTGTGTCTGTAGTCATTGCTTGCAACTTCAAACAAAATAGATACAACTGGTTGACTATATTTTTGTACAATTATTAAAATATTTTGTTGCAGTGCCCAAGTCTAAGCTGAGTAAGGTCGTGAATGCATGTCACATCCTTATGAACTTCTGCCTGCAGCGAATGCTAAAGTATTATGAATTCTGTGCAGTTTCCCAGGTAAGCACCATGCCTGTAATATTCAAAACCTTGGTTCGGTCATATTCTGTCAATATTGTAATGTTTTAACTATATATTTTTAACTACAGTAGACATTTAAAAATGTCTATTTACTTTAGTAATGATGAGTATCATTTTAGTATGTTCACAGTTCTTTCTTACTGTTTTATTTGAGAGGCTCCAATAATAGTAAATTTAATTACCGTCATAGCTATATATTTAAAGATAATTTCATACCTTGCATGCTATCTCAAAATTATGCTGCTACTAAATGTTGGTGATCACTAAACAATGGACAGAAATGATTAACAGTTGCTATATGTTCAAACCTGTAGGACTAACTGTTGGTAATCACAAAATTTAATTGTGTAGGCCTGCTAAGGATTTTAGATGTCTAATGTGATTGCCTGATGTATCCCAATATTGTTCAATTCTGTCTTTAAAAGTTAATATTATTTATCACAATTATGTGACACAAAATTATAATCATAATGTTTGAAGATTATATTTCTCTTTGTAGAGGAACTTGATGTCGTTGATTGAGGGTCTGTGCACTGGATGTGGCCAGCTGCAGAGGAGCAACATCATCACGTTGACTGCAATGCTCAAGTCATCTCAGATGCCACCTTCATCATCTAAGTCCAAAGCCACAGGTAAGTTTGAATTTTCCTTATTGTCTTTAAACATTATATTGGCTCTTTCACTTTCACTAACTGACTTTAAAATTCATATCAAACATTCACTCATATATTTATTTATTAAGAATTTGACACAAGATAAAATTCATATGTGTACTATAGAAAATTTTAAAATGTTGATCTTTTCATTCATTATTGATTACACAAAGCCATAGGATATTTATCTTTATGAAAAAATTAAGAACATCATCATAGTTATATTATTATTCTATATCAAAAGACAGTTTCATTAATTTTTACAGGGGCATTGGTTTATCCTGGTATTATGTCTTAGTGTAAACCATTTTAATGATTACCGTAAAAATGTAAGATCTATGTAGATTACTTCATCTCTTATTGTTTTCATAGACTCAGCAGCTCTCATCAAAGTCAGTGAGATGAAGACTCAATCACAGACTGAGTTTCTGGAGACTTTAATGTCATCGTTCTCTGAGATTTCCCCCAACAGTGGTAGCATCAGCGCAGTAAGAACTAGAGTGGATAATATCAAAGAGGAACAGGTAACATTTTCATGTTTCAATTATTTTATTATCTGGCTAAGACATGTAAAACAAAATCTTTAATTGACTTACCTGGTTAAAATACTATTCCATGTGGCTAAATTAATCCTACAAAACCACATTCCTTCCTTCCTGTTACTGAGCTAAATGCCCAGTTTGTTGTAAAACTATTCTTCCACAAATAGTTACCAAGTTTAAAAAAACCCATAAAACGCATTTATTTACTAGCTTGTTACATGACTATATTAAAGACCAGTAAGATATATTTTACTAATTTGTTATCTGACCAAGACTCATTTGTTGTGTTCATACAACACGTTAAATAAATCAAATTATATTATGTAACATTTTAAACGTACCGCGATATCAACCATTTTATTAATTGTTGATTGTTCTAAATATATCCGGTGACACTGTACTTGTATATTTTACCGACCCGGCTAAATAAACTCTTGTTATTAGCAACCTGTCAAGCAACACTCTTAACTCTGCCGTGCTGATAAGGCATGTAATGGTGTGTTGTGAAACGGGCCCATTGTTCCTATACCTTGTTAGCTCATTTTTCCATTACCTTGTTACCTGCCTACAGCATCTGTAAAACCCATTTGTTACTGACTTATTGTGGATGTTACAGCCATGTAAGCCATTCTTCCATTACCTTGTTGCCTGGCTAACACAGCCCTGTAAACCCATACATTTACTGCCATCATTCTATTACTGCCTACCCACCTACTGTACCTTTATTAGCCTTATTAAAAATGGACCTTTAAAATTTTGTAGTAAATGACTTAAAAAGGCAAAATAATTATACTTGAAAGAATTTCATCTAGTCTTTAGTTTAATTTAGTTTAGTTTATATTGAAGAACCATTTACAGTATACTAAAATAATTATATGTTTTAAAAATGTGTTTTCAGGAAGTGTATGAGAATATCTACCAACCAGGTATGAATATTGACTCCAAGACTTTTTTTGCTGCAAGGAATATCGACAATCTGCATTCATTAGGAGGCGGCGACATCCTGCTGGACGTGTGTCTAAATTTGTCGTTCCTCTTACGTTACATCGGGTACTATCAAGATGCTGTCAAGGGAAACCAGTTTATCTTGCCTGGTAGCATATCTGAAGTTGTATCAATGAAGAACAGGTTGGTTAACTGGTCAAGACCTCTCATGTTCCAAATTTGTGTTCATTATTTACTATAAGTTTACCTCTACCTACGGATCTAGCAGGTCACCGCAGGACGTATACCTCCTCCAAAGCCTTCCATTTGTCTCTAATTCCCACTATTCTCAGCCAGTTGTTGGTGTACTTTTCTTATTGTTTCATGGGTTCTTCCTACAAGCATCGGTGAGACGCTATCATGAATGCACTTTTTTCCCTTGATTAAATTAATCTTGTTGCACTCTTTCTTGGGGATTAGTATACCATTCTAAACATCCATATAATAGTACTTCATTGCTGACATTGAAATAATAGTATATTTCAAGTTAAAAAATATATAAATTGTTAGTTTTTACATACATTGATGTCCAAAAGTTAAAAAATATAATCAATCAATCATGTGTATGTAATAGAACTTAATGCAAAAGACAATTTTTTTTGTGACAGCTATCAGTCGCTGCTGAATGACATGTCCATTGTGTCACGTGTCTTGTCGTTGCCCATTTTGGAACCGTTAACACCAAGCCATCTGGAGAAATTGACTACTATCATCATGAGCTGTCTGTATGCTGCTGTGGCAGCCGTTTCATCCCACACCATCCTGAACATTGCCAGTCTTCACCAGATTAAAGGCTTGCAAGTGGTGAAGGACAGCGATCATGAAAAGCATGCAAAACTCATCGTAAAGAAAGGGGTAAGCTAATGTTATGCAGTGTGTTTTATTTTTCTTAGGGAAGAAACTATTATTTTATACTAGTTGAGTTAATTTAAGCAAATAATCTGGGCTCAAACTAATACAAATTGCAACAGAATTTTTCACTGGTGTGTATTTCAGATATGTCACCTAAATACCATACTAAAAGTATACTTAAATATGATTGGTGAACATGTTTAAATTTGAAAAAGAATGTGGCCTATTCTTCCGGAGCCTGGTTGTAGTGTATTGTAATGTAGTTATATTTATATAGCGCTTTATACCGAAGTGGTCTCAATGCACTCAAGGCATGGACTGGCTCCTACAGTAACTTAATTCTCGTCTGAGGACCTCTTCGTGTCTGAGCTACCCGGTAAACCAGTACCAGTTACTCTCGTCTGTCCACAGCAGGGGTTGAATGGACCAAGTACACCAGGGTAACCTACACTAGGTTCTTTAAATTGCATATGAGCCATATTATGTACACTGGGCCTACGGTTTATAGTCCTTATCCGAGAAGACTTGTTCCACCACCAGAACCATAGGTGAGCCTCCCGTTTGAATCAGCACCGATATTATGGCTGTACGATGTGGTGCCCCTGCCTTAACAACTCAGCCATCAAACTCAACATAAAGTCATAAGTCTTCAGGATTTCCAAAGTGCTCTATTTCTGAATTGTAGACTTGTGAGCCTTGTAGGGAATGGTGACATCAATTATGTAGGCATGGTTATCTTTCCTGTCTATTGCAGTCTGGTCAAAAGTTTCTGGTCTATGTATTTAACAGTGTTTCTGAATAAATATTTTCAGTGCCGTATTACAGCGGTGCGCCCTGCCTGCATGAGCTACACACCCGGCAAGCAGAGTGCTTATTACTGCGTGGGCCTGGGCCCACCGCACACTGAGCAAGACTTCGCACAGGCATGGCTACGGGAAACTCTTTGTTATATTAACAATATTAAACGATATCTTTCTACAATAAGCTTTTCACACGTCTGTATCAGACAAACGGGAGAAGGAAAGGAGGATATTATTCATTCACACATTCACGCAGGGCGAGCTAGGGCAAGTCCATTATTTTTCTTTTATGCGCGAGAGGTAAGTTTCAAAGATATCTCACTCATAGACTAACAGCTTCACTACTGATTTATTTAATTGTCGTGCCATATTTCCAAATAATGGAAAGACTTAATTTCCAGGGTGTGAACTGGAGAAGATTTAGAATATCGTAGAGTATCATGTTCTCATACGTATCATGTTCTCATAATTGTTTTCTAATCTTGTTCTACAGCTTGCTATGTTCAGCACCTTATCATCAGCAATACAGTCATCTATACGAGCTGGAGGACATGTAAGTTTTTCTTTCACAATTATTCTCTTTACTATTCCATGTTTGTATAAAATACATCTGTGTACTTGAGTTTTGGTATAAATGGCTGATATTGTTAATATTATTATAATTATCAATATTATTTTTATTATTATTATTAATGATTATAGAAAATTTATATTATTATACCATACTCACGCGAATAACCGTTTGAATAAGCACCCCTCCTAACGTGAAAATTGTCTTAAGCGCCCCGTTTGAATAAGCACCCCCTCAATTTTGAATAAGCGCCCCTTGATTCCTAAAAAAATTTCATTCATACAGTTAAGTACATCACCAACTTAATTTTCTGCATCAACTATTCACATATCTTAGCATTGTCAGTTGGTCAGTCCATCTATTCATCTATAATACCACCACTAATGTCATCTGCTGTTGTGTACATACCCCCAACATTCTTGTCATGAGCCATGCTCTCTCGACGATTACCTGTTCTTCACCAAACCCATTCATTTATCTTTGATTTTTAAAAAAGTGCCCCTTTTGAATTTTCCAATTTCCCATTAAAGCACCCTTGAATTTTCATCTATTTCCATAAGCGCCCCCTAAATTTCCACTCTGTTTTCATAAGCTCCCGGTTTGAATAAGCGCCCCGTTTGAATAAGCACCCCTCAAAAAGAGCCAAAAATAATTTAAGCGCCCAGGCGCTTTTTTGCACGAGTACGGTAATCATTGTTTTTTTTATTTCACTCCACACCAATCTAAATCAATGCAAATAGACCTATTGGCTGATAGCTGAGAAAATTGTTTTCCGTTACTGCTACATGCTTGTGTTAGACTCTACCTTACTGCGCCTTGAGCACCATTGGTGGAGATGTGCGCTTTATAAAACTTCTACTATTATTATTATTATTATTATTATGTACCTTTTTGCTTTATTTTTCTACTTTCATGTTTTTGTTTATGTACCAGGACATTATAAATGTCAGTTCATTGTTTTTGTTTTTGTTAATATTTTTATTATTATTTATCTGTATTGTAATCAAGTTTATCTAATGTTTTACCTTATACTGTACAGAATCTTCAAAATTTGAACATGCTTGGAGCATGGTGTATCTTCCGTGGACTGGAGCACATTCTTAATCTGAATGCCACAAGTATTCCAGAAAAGAAGGACCGCGAGGGCGGCACATCACCTTTGCCTAAGTCTGAAAAGCCTACTTTTGCGAAAACAAAAGACACACCAATTAGGCCCAGCTCAGCAAAAGGGTAAGG